TAAAAATATATGTAACCTCAAAATAACTTTTTTACTCCCTCCGTCTCCTTTTATATGGGACGGGAGATGGTGGCACGGATTTTAAGAAAAGTGAGTTTGTGTGGTTGATATTAATTGATAAAGTAAGAATAAAGTAAGAATAAAGTAAGAATGATTTTGAGCCACACAAAATTTACCAAATAAGGTATGGGGCAATTAAATAGGGACATCCCAATATGATAAAACGGGACATTTAAAAGGGGACGGAGCGAGTAACTGATAATTATTCATACTCCGTACTTTATTTTACTGATAAAATATATTCAAATATAACTTTTAAATAATTTGACAAACTCATCTTTTTCAGCCATGCATATCCGAAGTACTTCGTATCATTTAGCAATTTCAATAAATCCGAAAATTATGTTACAAATACTATTAACAACCAAGTGAATTTGGCTAGCTCTCATACCCACCATCGTATATCAGTATATTGCTTCGCTGGCAGGGGCGGACCCAGGAAGTTTATCTTGGGAGGGCGTTAACTTAAAAAAAATATTTTTTGTGAGAGCGAAAATTATTTTTTGGTATATATATACACTAAAAAAAAATTGTTGGAGGGGCGACTGCCCCCCTTAATCTCTACTACGGTCTGCCCCTGTTAGCTGGTTCACAAATCACAAATACACTTAACTCAACGTGGGGTCGGGGGCAGCTGCCCCCACTCAACTCCCACCCTACCCCTATATATACATATATATTTAATTTATATTTTTATATTTTTTGTGCTCAATATAAATGTCTTATAATTTAATTGCAGTATTTATAAACAAAGCAACGTCCGGTCTAGTGTTTCAGCACTCAATACGTGATACGTGCTGTAGTCTATCCTCTGGTCAAGGGTTCGAACCCCTGGTTTATTTTTATATCCATATTTTTCATTTTAGCCCTTTTGAAGCTTTAGAATGAAGTTTAAGTGATTATTATACATTATTGTTTCAGTTTTTTTCTAATTTACTATATTTAAAATACTTTAATGTAGTTACAATTTTAGTTTCACATATATTTTGTGTATAGTTCAACCTTGACATATTTGCAATTAATAAAAACTATTTTCTACATATACTTATATATCCGCAACTTAATGCATCCCTCCATTATAATATAATTCATTATTTATTAACATAATTTCAAATAAGATAAAAAATTTGTGACTTGTTTGTTAGTGATAGAGTGAAATTTATTTAGCATGATGTCATATTTTTTTACGAACAAATATTTTGTTATTTATCGATAAATTTACGATTTTTTTAATTTGTTTCACTGTTTGTGATATTTCTGAGATAATAAATTTGTAGTGCGAGTTCGTCCCCCCTCACGGAAATTCCTGGATACGCCACTGCACTTATACACATACTGTTGTAATGTGGAGAGTCGGACGTAATACGGGCATTAATCTAAATTATTGGAGATTATATTGCTTAGCTTAGCTTGTTCACAAACAGACATACATAGAAGATAGAACGAAAATTTTGCCTTTCAAAAGCGTTAAGCATCCAACCTGGCCACCTCTGTCACGCCAGCATGCACAGTAATGATTCCTGTGTTATTTTTAACTTTAATTTTGAACAAGTGCTGGGTCTTTGCTCGTGGTTATTTACCTTGTATAACACATTGAGAATCCAATTCTCATGGAAAACGCAGCTTTCTCTTTTCTCCTCATGGTTAGCACATCCATTCCTATATTATTATTATATACGGAGCACAATTGTTGTTGTCACTATTATTATTACTACTACTACTATAGTTGTTCTTGTTGAAAAAGAAGAGTAAAGTTGATTTTTGTTCCTTTTCTCAAGAGACACAACAAATCCTCCTATATAAAGGTTGGCAGGTGGTTTGCAACAACACACGATTTTACACGAATTCATACACTCCATGCACGTTTTGCACCTCAAAAACACACTGCTAGCATTCTGAAAAATTCCTGAGTGTTCATACTGTGTTCTCGTTCGTTGGGACTTTTGTTTGTGTGCTCAAACATTAGTTCGTAGTCATCGTATCCTGGGAAACGATTGTTGCAACGCTCCTAGCACCGTGGGAGGCAACAAATACGTTTTAAGGAAATCGTGCGTAGCACGAGCTTTGACTAATTCTGCTTCATCTCCTTTCTTGTTTTTCTCTAGTCATTTTATTTTAATTAATTTATTTTAATTAATTTTCTTTATTTTCCGAAACACACCCTACATGTTCTTCACTCATTCAAGTTATATAGCCTTACCGTCAAAAGCATGTAGATTTATTAGTTTCCTACATACCTTTCTGGTCTGTCAAAAATGATAAATAGACCCTCCCTTTGACATTTCTTTGTTTTGTCGAAAATATATAAACTTTTTGACACTTCATGTTCTATAGCTAGTGCAGATTTCATTCCTCTCCTCAGCACATCATATATGGAGTTGACGAAAAGATGCTGCAGAAATGGTTTGATAGCATTTGTATTTGCTTTGGTTTTGTTTGAACAACTTCAGAACATACCATTTTGTTGTAAATTTGGATGATGTATTTGTTGTAATATGGGTAGCTATACGTAGAAATTTCAGCGTGTATGTTTAAAGTTTTTGTATTTTGGAGCGAGTGGAGGGAACTCCCACCAGTAAGGTACTTTTGATTTTATAAAAGCTCCTCAAGACGTTACTTCTATGCACGCACTCTTCCAGAGGAATCAAGATCCCCGACCTTAAGGCAGAGTGCCTTACTCAAATGAACTAATGAAGGGCGTCGCAAAAATACACAATTCTCTTTCAAGACTCAAGTCCAAATTATGAATAGAAAAAAACATACAAGTCTCATGTGTTTTCAGTCTTACTAAATCAACCGAGTCCGCTAAGGAGTGTGTAACAACTCACCTGCCGAATCAACTAGCCCCGAAAATGGATGGCGCTTAAGCGCGCGACCTATACCCGGCCGTCAGGGCAAGAGCCAAGCTTTTTACTAGGAGTGGGCATTTCGGTTTACTGTTCTGTTTTGTTCGGTTTCACTTCCATTTCAGTTTATTCGGGTTGGCAGAAAATGTTCCAAACAAAAACCAAATAAACTCTTATTTGGTTTCGGTTTGGTTTCGGTTTGGTTTGAAAATGAAACCGGTTTGGTTTAATATGGAATTTGGTTTGCCGAATTATAAGTGGTTTGGTTTGGGTTAAAACAAAACCAAACCGTTTAAACAAAAACAAAATACTAGTTAACACAAAATTTAAAATAACAAAACAAACCATATACAATTTTCAATGCAATATCTTTTATATATACAAACTTTTTTTACCCCTGGGATGGGGGAGGTGGACTGGGGGATCCTGGGATAAACAGGCCTGAAACTCTCTATCACGTTTCGAACAGAGAACTCCCGTATGGGAGATTGAGTCAGCGATCAATTGATTTAGACTGTTTCCTCATCTTTTATACAAACTTATACCTCTCGTATTGTGTAAAAAAACTATGGGTTCGTTTGTTTTTTAGCGTTTGAATGGAAACGTCGTATCAAATCGCTGCAATTTATAGCGTTTGACGTGTTTAATATGATAGTGTTTTGATTGAACTGTCAGCAACTAACAAGGGCGTACATATGTTTACAATTGAGGCAAATGAAAGCTAGGTATTATTGTATTATTGACAAAGCACAATCATCACAATTCACTCAAATGTACAATTGTAATCAATGGTAACGATCATTCAAAATACTAGTTAACACAAAATTACTCTTCAGATCGGTAAACCGATCATTCATATGTTTTGTTTAAGTTTTAATTCTATTTAAAGCAATTTTTATTATTTAATTGTGTGCATGGTCAAATTGGAAAATCAATATAGGATATAGGGAGTCATTTTCTTGACCATGTCGATTTTTTTGCGAGTGCAAACATTTATTGCCTCTAAAATTTGAATTTTCCAATTCACTTTTTTGCTTGTGACTAACATTTTTATAGAAAAATATTGTCAGTGAAAGAATTCTGAAAATATGTACAAAAGTAAACAACTTTTTTTACTCTTCTCAAAACATTTTTTGTCCGTGCCAAACATCTATTTTCTATAAAATTTGATTTTTCCGGTTGACATTTTTTCGTCTATGGTAGGGATGGACTGGGAAGGGCCTACCCAGCCCACTACCCGACCCAAACCACTACTGTGCAGGCCCGGCCCGGCCCGGTACCCGACCCGGTTGAAGAAGCAAGTGGGCATCGGGTTCCTATTTTGGTGGACTTGCCCGGTCGGGCCTAACAGTCACCAATTAATTTTTTCCCATTGGGCTGGCTACTAGGTGGGTGGGGCTGGGCGGTTTGGGGGTTTGGAAACTTGGAATTAACTCAAAATAACAAAAATGACAAAAAAAAAAGGCCCGGCCTGGGCTCGGACCGGAACAAGTACAAATTAGGCCGATACCGGGCTTGAATTCCTTAGTCCCGTATAGGGGTAGATTCGGGTCGGGTCCGGGCCTAGGCGGGCCGGGCCTCTTTATATTTATTTCTTTTTTGCTTTTTCTAATTAACCCCTGACCCCCCCCCCCCCCCCACCCCCAAACACCCAGCCCAACCTGCTGGAATAAAAAAAATGAAAAAAAAAAAAAAAATATTTCGGCCCAAACCGGGCCCGGTCGGGCCAGGTCTCATTTTGAAGGAACCATGCCCGGAACCATCTCTCCCTCCGGCCGGGTAAAAGCCCGGTACCCGGACCGGTGAACCGGGCCGGGTCACGGGCCGGGTGGCCCGACCCGAGTCTACCCCTGGTCCCGTAGCCCGCCCGAGGCCCGGCCTAGTCCACCGCTAGTCTATAACCTAATTTTAATGATATACTATCTACTAAGTAGTTTTTTACCATGTTGGAAACATTTTCTTTCTATGCCGAATATTCATTGACTATAAAATTGGATTGTTCTATCGACTCTTTTAGAAAGTTTTAAGTGATTGTCATTCATTTATCTTTATTCTCACTTTATAATGAATCGTATCATATCAAGCAAGATCAACCAAAACGTAAGCACTAGATGAGATTAAACTTAAAATCCATAGGACAAAGGCGTTTACTGCTTTTGCACACGCCCATGCCTAACACTTTTTGCCAGCCTCAAGGTTCAGTGGGTGAATAAAACCAGAACATTCAATACTGTTTCTATTCATGTTTTTCATGCTTACCAGTAACCAAAAATATTGACAGAGACAAGTAAATCACCAGAAATGAGGGAAATCTATCTAAACAAAAATAGGTGAGGTAGGGATATGACATAAAACAGCTGCATGGGCCGCCATTATATCTGAGCTCAACTTGCACAAACAGCAAAATTCGAATTAAAACTCAAAAGCAACCAAACAAGAACAATGGAGGGTTTTTAAAAATGCATTCAGCCATTTTCTTCTTATGGAGCATCATCAAATTTGCGGATATCACTGCAATATGTTGTAACTAACAACCCTTTTGTTTCTTCATCTTTTGTGCACTGCAGCCCCATTTCCACGCTAGTGAGCTTCTTCGCCTTCAAGGACTCACCTTCCCAATCGGTGCAGCAAAGCACGGCGTAGAGGATGGAAACCGCGCAGGCCGCCTGCGCTGACAACAGACCGAACCAAAGCCCGCTGAACCCAACTTTGAGCCAGAATGCCAAGCCTACCGCCACAGGGGTGCCTACGAAGTAGAAAGAACCGAGATTGATGCGGGCTCCAACGGCTGGTCTGGCAGTGCCTCGGAGAATCCCACACCCTGTAGTTTGTGGGCAGTTGCCAAGCTCACACAAGCCTATTATAGGCAGAACAGATGCAACCAGAGATTTAAGCATCTCATCTTTAGTGAAGAGGCCTCCCCATGTCTCCCTAAAGATTACTGTCCACATCACATTCACGAATCCAATTACAACTGCACATGCCAAAGCAACCATTGCCGCTAACTTCGCTTTGTACGGTTTCCCAGCTCCCAATTCATTTCCCACCTGAACATACAAAAATCACATGCACTAAGACTTGGTGTTCCATCTTAATGTTCAGACTAATAACAGCAGTAGTCTAAGGCATTATGTGTTGATCTGTATCCATACATTTTAATGGGGTGTGAAACAACTTTGGCACATCAACTCGTTTAACATAACTCGAGATGTACAAAGGCCTTCACTGGCATCATTTCTAAAGCTAACTCGTTTGAAATCAAAATGCAAAGTAGCACACTTGTGTGGAAACAATTTTTCTTAGATCTAAAAGCGTAGTGGCGAGATTGAAACATTGATCTTTTCTGGTACTATGTTTCTATAAAGCTGGAGAGGGAACAGATTCACAGCTAACCACAGGAACTATAAGTGTGTAACAAAAAAACAGTAATACTAGAAAAAGACATGCAGAGAAATTTAAGAGGAACCTACCCGGGCAGAGACACAGCCGGCCAATGCCATGGGAAACGTATACATAAGGCTGGTAGTTTGAATCATGATGCCAGTGGCAGCCACAGCATGCCTTGGGTTGGGCAAATACCCAGCAAGAACAGTTACAATTTCATACCACCACCACTCCAAGCAAATGCCTATGCAGCTCGGCACTGCCAGCTTCAACAAGGGTCCTACTCCTCCAAAAACGCCTTCCATCAATTTCCACTCCCACTTTCCCCCATAAATGCACAAATACCCCATCATCAGCACCAACATGTGCATGTTGGTGAGCACGGAGGCCACAGCCACACCGGGAACTCCCATTCCCATCACCACCACCAGCACAATGTTCAAGGGCACATGGAAGATCACAGCGATAAAAGTGCACCACATCTGAGGTTTGGTCACCCCTTGTGACCTCAGGTAAACCCTGAGTGGCTGCAACAAAGTGTTCGTTAAAAGGTCGGGCAGGGAATACAAACAGTAAGTTGCAGCTGTTGATGTGATCTCCTTATCTTGGCGCATGAATAGCATGATTGGCTCCAGATTCACCCAGAGGAGACTGATGGGTATAATAGCAAGCAATAATATGAAGATCATGCGGTGGAGAGACAGGAGAAGCAAGTCCCCGTTCTTGCTGCCGTAGGCTTGGCTACACACTGGCTCAAGCCCTGAAGCTAAGCCAACAAGCACTGAGTAGCCTGTGATGTTTGTAAAACCAATGGACAGGGCCCCACCAGCCAACTCAAGGCTCCCAAGCCTTCCCAAGAACAGAACTGAGACCACTGCTCTCACATAGACCAAACAATTCATTGCTGTTATTGGCAGAGCCATTCTCCATAGTTCCTTCAGTTCCTCCACAACCTTTGACAAAATGACAAGCAAGCTAGCCCTCAATAACCATAAACAATATAGTGGACATACATATGGAAACTTATGGGCTCATGTAAACTGAGTTACCTGAGAAGTTGATGGCACTTTGTGGGAAAGAAAGTCTTGGTCTTTTTCAGCCATAAATGTTAGAAGTTGGAAGAAGCTCTCAGAATTGCACAAACTCCGACCAAAACTGCAACTATTTATTCCAAGCCAAGAAAAATCAATGAGAACCAATGACGTAGGGAAAGAGAAGAACCAAACCATTAGCCCCGTCCATTAGCACACTCAATAAATAGGAAAGGCAAAACAGTTAATGCTATGCCCACCTCTGTCTTTCCCTTTCCCAGATGCTTCTTTTCACTGAGATGAGAATTGTATTCTGAAATGATGAAGAAGTCAAGAAGGTTATAAAATGATGTAGACAGAGAGAGGATGAAAAAAATATAAAATGATTAGCTTTTAGGGATAATTGATATGACATATGACAAACTTTTGTCTGTCAGTGGTCTTCAATATATATATATACAGGTTTCCAGAGAATAAAGTTTGAAAGTTGAAATGACATTTGAGCATGAAATGGCCTAGAATAAGAAAAACAATACCCATATGTCATATTGTTTGTCTAATTCGTATAACGATTAAACTATTCTTGACTAAATTTTTGTAATATTAAATTTGATATCCGCATATAAAAAGTACAAAATTGCACACGAGGAATAAGAAGTAAAGAGTATTCTCTTTGACTATAATAGTAATAGGATAATATAACATCCAGTTTAGGATAGAAGATAATAATCCAACAACTCATGAATCTTGTTAACATCACACAAAACAAAACAGGCTCAGAGAACAATTGAAATAGGGAACTAGTTCTACAAATACAGCTTTTAAAGGATGCGGTTAGTGCATGACATTAACTTTGTTTTAAGAAAATAACTTAACAATTGCATACTATGTTAACACTGTATCATACCATCATCGCTGATACAGAATTCCAACAAGTTGGGTTGATGTGACACCATGGTGATAATAATGTGACATAGTAACCTGTCAACATTATGCAGATATCTATCACCCTAGAGAATTGAAACTTACAAAAACAACAACCAACTCTTATTGCCAATTCCCAAAAGAATTTAGAGTCTGAGACCACTAAAACGTTAATTAACTAAAAAATAGCAATACCCAGTTATATATTTTAGGACTTCATCCATTCACATCTTAAGGATTTCATTTCTTGATCCAGTGAATAAATTCTATAAACTTCAGCCCAAAGTGACTTTAAAACCTATTGGGGGTATATAAACACCTGACAAAACCAATCAAACTTAAAAAATATGAGACTCTGCTATGTTATTTTTTAAACCCAGAAAATAAATATTAGAGCATGAGGTACGCAGCTAGAATTCATAATACGCAGAAAGCATCATTGCCCATTTGTTCATATCCAATGATAAACTATTTGCATGATTAAACTATTTGCATTTTAAAACTGTTGTAACTTGTAATGTACCCTCACATGAAAACATTAGCACCGTTCATTTGGTGATGCATCACATCTATATTTCCTTTTCAAATAATTATCCGTACATATAGGAAAAATAATTCAACAAATGCATCACCTATACTTTTTCATGATAAAAAAACAACTTCTGGAGAAAGAAAATGACATAATTTTACAACAAAAAATTAAATAACCCCCCAAGTTGCGAATCATCGGAACTACTACAATCAGCACCAAATCATCAAAGTCCACTCCTTTACACCCAAATAAAAAATTCAACTGCTACAATCAGCACCAAATCATCAAAGCTCACTCCTTTACACCAAAAAAAATCTCTAAATAAACAAATCCAACTTAGCCATTGGCGTATTGCTCTGGGCTTGCGCCATCGTGGAGAGAAAACCAGAATAGAAATTTTCAAATGAATACAAAGCATGATACCATAAAATATTACTCCATTAAAGGTTGGAAATCCAATAAACACTTAGAGAATACAACTCCCAAAAAAGAAAACAGACAAAAACTATTTCAAATGCCAAAATAAAGAATGGTTGATGCGTACTATAAAAAAACGGACGGCGGTGCGTGAATGCGTTGGAAGTCTCCGGGTGGTCGTCGGAAGCACTTGCGTATCCTCCGCCGCGATCTGAAGTCCGGTGCCGGCGTCGCTTTGGGTTCAGAAGCAGAAAGGTTTATGGCTCGCTGCTAGTTACTGTACAGTCTCCACTCGTCAAACCGGAAGAATGTGACGGACCAAAAGTTGCTTCGGACCACTCACTGATGAGTGGGGTCAAGGGGCTACAGATTACTGAGCGAGTGGGTCATTGTCAAACATGTCATTCCCATATCATAGCTTACACACACCTTAATATCTCAACTATCCAATAGACAAATACCCCCTTCCAAAAATCTTACTCGGAGAAGATATGGAATGTGCTCTTGCGATTTTCAACCTTTAAAAAGTGAGACAATGTGTACTATCAATCCATAACTCTTAAAAAATTGACCTCAAATAGTAAAAGGTCAAACCATATATATATTACTCTCTCCGTCTCATAAAACTTGATCAAAGTAGACGTGCACGTAGGGGCTAATAAAGTAAAACCCACGTTATTGATATTTGTGCAGAAAAATAATATTTTTAGTTACATATTTATTACGGAGTACTTTAAATAGAAATGACAAAGCATTTTGTGACGATCAAAAAGAGAAAATTAACCAAGTTTCATGTGACGAGGCAGTACATTCATCTAAACAAAAAATCTCACTTTGACTCTGAGAAATTATTATTATTATTATTATTAAGAAAGTAAAAATATATACGAAGAATTTCTTGATGATGTAGAAATATACTCCCTCGATAACAAAAAATCTTCTCATTTCAAAAGTAGATAGATTAAGAATAGTGAAGGATGATATAAATTATTAAAGGTATGATAGGAAGATAGTGGAATAATGTGATGGAATGTAGATTAAATCTAAAAAAAAGTAGCTATAATAGTGTATCATTTTCAAAATTACTGATGGTATAACTAGAAGATTTAGAAAATTGAGAGATTTTCTCGTTACGGACAAAAAAGGAAAGGGGGGAGATTTTTTTTTGCTACGGAGCATGGAACAATGTTCCAAACTAATAACCCCATAAAAAATATTGGAGGGAGTTTTTAAGACATCCCAAACAGTGGCGGATCTTTTGAAAATTTGAGAAAAATCATTGTATGTATATGCAGAATTAGTGCAACTATTTCTTTTAATTTTCTAATATTTATTACTTTTAGCTCAATTTATTTGTTTTTCTAAAATGTGTAAAATTTTTGCAAATGTTTCCAATCTTTGTTGTAGACTGTAGAGTAATCCCTCCATGTCATTTTACTTGTCTTGCTTTTCTTTCTGGATTATCTCAAAACAAATGTCATATTTCTGTTTTTGAAAAGAAAATATGTGGTAGATCGCATTTCACTATATTATACTCATATCTCAATAATAACTTTTACTTTTTCAATCAATTTATTAATAATTGTGTCAAATCAAAATAAAAAAGTTATGAGAAATTGTAAAAGAATGAAGCAGGAAAATTAAAATGGAATTTAAATTAAAAAAATATTCTCTCTACTAAAGCGAAAAATTGTAAAAAGACACAATAATCGAATGAGGATATTACTTGAAATAGCACTAAAAAGGTTTGAAAATTCCAAAATAGGACTGTCATGTTTTTTTTTCAAAATAGGACTAATTAATGTCATGTTTTGGCAGTATCAAACTTCAAACATGGCAGTATTTTCTAAACTTGACAATAATCACTCTTATTTTGGGAATAAAAACATGACAGCCCTATTTTGGAATTTTCAAACTGTTTTAGTCTTATTTCGGGAACTTTCCCTAATCGAATATAAGGCAAGTGTAATTGCATTATTGCATAATTGTACAATTCTCTCTACTTCCAACTTTTTCTTACTTTTGCTGTATTTATTCTAAATTCTAATCTTATTTTGTATTAAAGGGAGAAGTTTATTTGCTATATTTTTCTCTCTTTCTAAATAAACTGTAGCCGCTATATATTTGTTTTGTAGATAATAAATGAGTACTCAAGGAATTTTATCGATCCAGGACTAGAGTACTCAATGACTACTAAAGGAGAGGAATGAAGTCGAAACGAGGGAAAAGGTTAAAATAAAAAAAATAAAAAAAATAAAAATAACGACCAGTAGGGTCAGCTGGTCCTGGTGTGCCCTGAAAACGTCCGCCACCAGGTCAGCTGGTCCATCAATATGTCCGCCACCAAACCTAAAACAGCTCCTCGACAACACGCATGCCTCCGTGGGGATCCTTGATTGCCCCAACCCTTCTACTGATTAAGTAATCTAGAGTCAGATATGCGTACGTACTTCCCCACCCTCATTAATAACATTGTCCACAAGTGTTTGTGTTATTCTTCAGTAAGACTACATTTCATTTGTCTATTGTACTCCCTCCGTCCCTCTATTAAGTTCCTACTTTGACCTACATACACATTTAGGAATTAAATTTGACTTTACTGTTTAGACACTGTTTAGACACTGTTTGACACTGTTTTGCACTGTTTGACACTGTTTTGATGTAGGATAACTTTCCATTTAGGGAAATGAGAAGATTATTTTGGGACGGCCCAAAAAGGAAATTAAGAAGTTAATAGCGGGACAGAGGGAGTTACACATTACACATGTGTGTGTCCTCTATAACTCAATCAACATTATGTGAAACAATACAGTAAAAATAATTGGTGAGTAAAGAAAATTTACAAAGTATTGTGAAACTGGTGAAGAGAGTTTATTTCCTATTCCCTTCGATTCACAATGAAAGTCACAATTTCGTTTTTTTGAATGTTTCAAAACAAGGTCATAATTCTTTATTTCGTAAACAAATATATATCAATACAGTCAGGGGCGTAGCTAGGGGGTGGCCACCCTTGGCCCTGGCCCAGCCTAAATTTTAAAAATGTCTATATTTTTAGTGTAAAAAATTCCGTGTAAATTTTTTTCCAAAAATATTCTTTGTACCGGCCCAGTCTGGCCCACTGCTCTGGCTCCGCCCCTGAATACAGTACAAAACGTGTCAAATAGTGTCAAACAGTGTTAAAATATACTCTAAAACAAAATTTCCCCTCAATAAACTCCCCCCATCTTAGTGTTATCAAAGTGTGGCGTTGATTTTGAAACAAGGGGAGTATTGTTCTTGTCTCATTTTTTCTTTTCTCTATCTCACTAATATTGTATTGCTTGCTGTCAATTTTTATAACTTGTGCAATCTTTCTAAATTTAAAATAATTCACATATTTCCTGTACAAAAACAATTAATACATTTAGAAAAAAAATATTATGATCTATTAAACGCTAAAAATGAAGGAAAGTATTGTACTAATATGATACATACTTTTAGAATGGAAAGGATCAATAAACTTAGAGCATCTCCAATGCTAAAACGTTAACGGTGCATACGTGGCATGGAAAATAATCAATTAAAAAACAATAAATACAATATCTCTCTCCTTATTTGAAGGATCTTACATCATTTTGGTAAGTTTTTCTTCACAATGTCAAACACAATGTTTAGATGTAGACATTGTGATTGACATTGCAGACAAAAACTTACCATAAACACATAAGACCGTGGAAAGAAGGAGAGAGATATTGTATTTATTATTTTTTAATTAGTTATTTCTCATGCCACATATGCACCGTTAACGTTTTAGCATTGGAGATGCTCTTACTCTAGAATATTAACGGGAAATGATAAAATAGTTTTGGAAGGCATGTCCTCTTTTCTTATTCACTTGTTTAAATTGACCATATTTCCCCATTCTTTTCATGTGTGAGAGATTTACTCTTCTTATATAATTTAAGATACAGTTTATCTGCTCTTTATTATTATATGTAAGATAAACTTATATGAAAGGGTACCATTTATATTATGTGTGAACTACTTCCTAAAACCATAATATAAATATTAGGGGAATAATATGGATTTTAGAGTAATGTGCAATTAATGAGAGATTTCCCAAAATAGGATTATTATGTTTTTATTCCCAAAATTTGACTAACATGACAATATTTACTGTCATCTTATAGGCGTGACTGTCAAATAGTTGCAGCACAATGCCTTTAACATGACTGTATTTTTTGTAATTAATGACAGTATTTTTCAATCATGGCAGTATTTTTCATAAATGACAGTAATAACTCCTATTTTGGAAAGAAAAACATAATAGTCCTGTTTTGGTATTCCAAACCTCATTTACTCCTATTTAGGGCAATTTCTCGTAGTTAATTAAGGCTCGTATATTACTAATTCCGATTTTCATTTAGAAGATTTTATGCTATCATTAGGGAAGGGTAGGTGTGCTAATGTTTTATATTGCACCACAATTATGTAAATGTGACCACATTCATGTATGAATGAATAAGCAACAACACATAATGTAACAAAATTGAAATCTTGTACTTATACATGTCATTTCAAGTTATTTTTGTCTAAGGATTTATTAAAATCTCAAATCAAAACTAATCAGACTTCATTAAAAAAACTAATCAGACTTAATTGATAATAACACACAACTTGACCTTTGCAACGCCAACCATAAACAAACCAGACCCGATTTTAAACACACTAATAACCAAACTAACTTCACCGGGAGATAAATGAACCGCGTGTTAGTTTCACTAATAGTGAGGATGTTTTCACTATTTTCAGTCCCAATCTTGAAGTTTACCAGACTAGACTTAAACATATCAGATCAAATCAACAAATTTCAATCCAAAAAAAACATCCCAAATCCCAACACCTTTGTTTGTGCAGCTTTGCCGGCAATTTCTTTTAGTCTTTTCTTTTTTCTAAAATTCGGGAAAAGATTAAGGTTTTTTTTTTGGAATATTCTTCCATCGCGATGATAGTTTTTTTTTTAAAAAAAAACTTGCAAGGGATGTTGGAAGGAGAATAAATTCGAACAGGTTTTAAATTTTGAGAATATTAAACTAGACAACTAGTCATATTTTTATAACCACAAAGTGCAATTGTGCAAAGCTATAATTATATCATTTTCTTATTATACAGTAAATAGATTCTACATATAACGTATTGGTTCAATAAGTCATTTTTGTGGCAAATTCTTTTGGAAATGGGCATGACCGGCTTTCAAGGAAAAAATCAATTTGTCTCACTATGAGGTGGCGTTAACCCCTTTCTAGCAGCCAAAATTTGATTCATTTTTAACTTAAGATACATTCTAACAACTGAAAACAAGGTAAATAACCATTAAATTGTGAAGGTGGAGCTGGCTAATTATACATCTCAAACAGGAAATTATATCCTGAAAAGCCCATAGTGGATTCCCCTTCAAAGCATGGAATGATGAGTACTTCTCCAGAACTGATCAAGATGGCTCTTATTATTACCATTTGGAGGAGGATCAAGAAAGCGCTGTTATCACATTCTCA